ACTGACTCATTTTATGGCTGATCAAAAATCAGCACAAAAGGTAACCAGCAAATAAATAAATTGAAAATTTTTGCCCTCACAATTACACTTCATAGGCACCTTCCATGCATTATGGCAATGTCAAAGCATTGTAGTCGCGCAATTTTTGGGCTCCGTTGGTACAGAATAGCTGCAGTGAGCGATGGGATGAAATATCATGTAGTTTTTTCTTGTGTACGTTACATAATTTAGTTAATTTAGGCATAATAATGTAACGTGCAAACACTTTCTGAAGCACTTGTAAAACGTCCCTATAGTGTTCGATGTTCTGCCGCGAACGAAGATTCTTGAGTAGTTTTTTGAAGTCGAATTCTTGCGTCCTTAAAGAGGGATAATAACATCCGAAAATATGCAGTTGTTTGGTACATTTAGAATTTCTTGCTTTCTGTAATTCTAATCGTTCAAGGGAGTTTTGAACGTTTAAGAAATGAAATTCACTTTTCGAAAGGCCTAATTGTATACTCGTATTCCATTACACGATGCTATTTTTTCCCTACGTTAGACGGTTGTTTTTGCGTTGACTAACTTCTTTTAATATTGACATTATTGCGTAATATTTGAGATTAATGACGAAATTAATAATTCAACGCCAGTTTCATAATAAGCAATGTGCAGACTCTGAGTTTGAGAAGCAATGCCATGTTTCCTTCCTAAATTTCACTGGTTGTAGATACATATTGATTTCTCGGGAAATAAGAATCTTGGAAGCACCACCGGTGCGACGCCCGGAAGACAGGAGGAGGATTGAGGAATAGTGGTGAGGTCTCCCGTAAAACGTAACCACCTGCACGGCATGGCATTGCCGTTATCGGAAGTTATACCGGTTCATTCGTCGTCCGGGTTACCTAGGCTATTGGGTAACTGAGGCAGATTGCGAAAAGTCTATAGTTAGCTACAGGTAAGAATCGCTGTTCTTTTCAAAAATCCGCATTCACAAACGCACACGCACTATATTCGCTGAAATCCTGATGCTGGATGTTCTGATTCAAGTGTTAAGTTGCAACGAATTACTGTTAATTGAAGTACAGTTGCATCATTTTTTAACCTAGTACTTAATGATTGTTTTGTAGCTGCTTGAGCCGAAGTATAATGATCGAAAGAAGTTCAGGTATGGCTTCCGTGTGGTGATTATGTTTTCGTCGATCGTTCGGACATGAATAAAGATTAGTGGAGACCGATCGCAGCTTTGGAACATATTATGGTGCGTTGCTCTTGTTTTTCAAAATAATTTTGTATAACTTGTTGTATAATAAATTTCTATGATCTCAGTCAATTTCGATGGCCGCCTTTCTTTTCCCGTTGCGGAGCTAGAGGCATCAGTCAGTGCTTCCAC